ATAACCTCCAACTTATAGCGTTCAAACTTTATCTTCTTGCCATCCGGCTCTGCCATCGTAATCTCAATCATCACTATGTCGCAGCTTATTAAACTTTCTTTTCTTTGTTCAATTACTTTCCGAGGTTTTGTGAATATTTACGCAATAATGCTAACTAATATAGCGCTAACAAATTTAAAGTAACTAAGCATTTAAAAGAAAATAGACAATTAAAAAGTAACTAGGCCAAATTACTATGTGCCATAGTCTATCTCTAATGTAAACGGCTTGGTGAATATTTTACAACCAAAGAGAGCTAAAAATAACGAACTAAGTTCGGAAGGTGATTTAAAGATTTTGCTCATATGAATATTGTTCACACGCAAAGCTGTAGATATTGTGATTTGTTTGACTTGATTGATTGATAAATCTCGTTTTTAAACATGTTCCATTAATACTATTCCCTTCCTTATCCTAATCCTGTTGAGTCGGCACAACTGGTTTTCGGCCTCCAGGTTAATCTATTCTCCACCATCTCAGTCAGCACTCCCTTCTTGTTTACATCACCTTCAACACAATACTTCCAACTCTTTTTATGTACCTCTAACGATGTAGCCCTTTAAAATAGGTTGAATTACATAATAAATAATATAAGTTTTAGTTACCGCCCTTGGAGAGAGGGCTAGTAGATATTTAAGCAGAAAATTCTTGTTCATGTGCCACCTTTTATCTCTATTATGCATTTATAAGTTTAGGCTTCGTTTATTGCTCAGAATTTTTATGTATGCCTTCTATTTACGATACACAAATTAATTGCTATTTTTCTTTTAATTGAATACTTGAATATATAAGAATGAACAATTTAATTAGTTTTTTTTTAATTTCCAGGAGACCAAAGGTTTTAAAACAAAAACGTCAATGTCAATTTGTTCAATTGACATTTGTTAAAAGTCAAAAGCTAATTGTCAATGTCTTACTAAAAACTTAAAAATGTTTTTTTCAATATGTAGTGCGCACATTAAATAATTTAGAATAATAAGTTTAAGAAAACCAGTTCTAATTCAAAAAATCGTAAGGATACTAAAATGTATTCTGTATCTAAAATCAAGTATGTCAGTACTAGAAAACTTGTTCAGAAAAGATATGTTTTTTGTAATATATTCTAATTTCTATTTAAATTACAGGAAGGGATGTTTCGGAGCCACACTATGTAGATTTCTTAGCTCAGCAGAAATCTCCACAGCATTGAGGCCATTTTATTTTAGTGTTCATCCAGATCTTTTTGGAAAATATCCAGAGCAAAGGGTATGTATTGATGAGAGAAAACTATGCACTTTAGTATAAATTTAACGCTTATAACTTCTGCTTAATTGCGTCTTTAGTTCTTGTTGCAGTCCTGTACTAAATGATTGGAATTACAATTATGTTAATCAATAGTTTTCGGTTTTCCTTTTACAGAAAACTAATGAAAACTCTTTACAACAGTTAAGTGCTTTAATAGAGGCCCAACAGTCTAGTCGAACCATGTCAATACCTGCACTACATTTTTATTTAAGACAAAAGGATATGCCAGAAGGTAATATAAATGAAACTAGACCCTAATGGTTTTAAACAACAGGTAAAACCTCTCAAATCAACATAGTGAAGTGTTCTGTGAACAGACACATCACACTCAGATTTCTCATTTTTATTATGATTTAAAAATTGATCAAGCAGTTTGAAAATGGTAGCAAAATTAAAACATAAACAAAAAGAGAGACAGCTAGTATTTACACTTTGCCAAAATTTAAATAATCTATACACAACTAAACACAAGGCTTTGTTTCCATTCTTCACAATGTACACTCTATGAAAAAATTTACCTTTTTATGTATAATATCAATGCCAATCCCATTTTAACATGTACAGCAACTAATTCACCTGAAGAGGGCCATAGAACATGTTTCATACTAAAATAAAAATTAATGATATGCTTGTATTGTTTTAGGACAATTTAAATTTGTAAAAATCAACTTAAATGGAAATAATGTGAGAGAAACAGTGGTCAGAGTGTTAAGTGCATGTGATATATCAACAAATTATGTTGACAAAATACCTGTAAGCAATATGAAGCCAGAATTTAGGTAATGACTAAAACCTAATTCTTGACATGAAATTTGAAAGATTATTTTGCTTAAAAATGTAAATTTGTATAATTATTTCAGCAAATCTGATTTTAATAAAGCGTACCAAGAATATAATGACGAATTTCAAAATGCTACTCGAATGAAAAGAAAAGTAGAAGAAAGAAAAGTTATTAACAATGTAATGTATGTTGATTTATAAAAAAGTTAATTTTATTCATTTAAGTATTAGCTAACCTATTTATAATAATTTTTTGCAGAAGTTGGATTCATGAAAATAGTAATTTAGCTAAAGAGAAGTATGAATCTACAAAAGCAACGAGAGATCATGTGAAATCATTGACAGAGGATCTATGCAAAACTTATGGTATTAAGGAAGTTGGTAAAGCTATAAACTTAAGTTTAATAATTAAATTTAAATCATTAAAATGCATTGTTTTAAATTCTAGGAACTAACTTTTTTTTTGGTAAACTAGATTTTTGTTATTGTAGGTTAAATATGACAGTGGTTGGAATATAAGCCACATAAGGGGAGCTCTACAGAGCCTTGTGTCACTCGCTTCACAACATTCAAAAGATATGGTTAATCTAAAAGGTTTGTATTTCTAGGTTATCTACATAACATATATATTTTTGTGCGCATGCCAGTCTTAAAGTTGTTTTTCTATAAAAGCCCCAAGCTAGTTCATCCATTTAAGATTTATTATAATTTATTATTATTTTATCTTTAAGGTAGAACAATAGCATTGGGCCAATTTACCGGAGTAAGCTTGGATGGTGATGTATTTCTTAATATTATTGATGTAAGGAATGAATGGTTATCGGTAAGTAATTTAATTAGACTATAATTATTATTAATACTGTACTAATAATTTAATCTTTATTATTTTGTTTTTCAGTTAATTAAAAAGGTTAGTCAAGAAGATGGTGCGTTAAGTCAAATACCGAATTACGAGAAAGCTCTGTCTAGAATATTGAGGGATATTCACATATGTAGAAGGTAAATATTTACAATTACAACACAAGTGAGCTGTTTTTAAAAACCTTTCAATACTTATTATTTTCTTATTTCCAGAAAGTTCATGCCCAAAGTGTCAGCAACTCAGTACTGTAACCATTTGCGACAGCTGATCACATCTATAGGAGACTTCTACGGACATGGAAAGAAGTTTCCAGCATCAGTACCAGAATCTCTTAGTAAATACGAAATTGTTGTAGAGCCGTAAGTGTGCTTTTTTATTTTAAATCTTATTAATATGAATGGATAATGTAATAGATCGATGTTTGGTTTTATGTATCTACATAATGGCTCAGCAGATCTCACTGATATTTTTTCACAGATTTAGAACATGATCTGGAAGAACACATAGGCTACTCAAAGTTTTTTTTTAATTCCGCACGGAAGGAATCGCGGGCGACAGCTAGTATCACATAAATAAGTTTGCACCTAATTTGTACTGTAAATTTTAGTTATCAGTAACAAAAATACTGTAGTAGCACAGACTGTGTCAAATGCATAGCATATAACATAGGTGTTTATTTTTTTTTCATTTAAATTCTTTTTTGTTTTAAAGTGAAGCAGGTCCGCTAATGGTGTCACCGACGGGTCAGTTCATAACACCGTCGTCGTGTCCCGCGGACGAGCTGGTGGCCTTCATGGCGGAACATCTCGATGAGGCCATGTTGCTGCTCACTGAATACAGCATGTAAGTTCAAATGTTTGGTAAAATCTGCACATGGGCGACGCCAGACCTTGATGTGGAACTAGTAGTAAAAAATAATTTTTTTTATACCAAAATATCGCTTGTCAATTGATATGGTCATTTTTATGAATTAACAACTTTGTGTTATCTATTTATTTAGGTCTATAGGAATTGGCAGTATTTAAGTTTTTCGCAGTAGGATATATATTTACCATTTCCCAATGGTAATTAAAAAAGCTAATCTATCTATCTAAGAATCTATATTACATTTTCATAATGGCCAGATTTCATATTACTCTGGCGATGCCCATGCATTTGCCTACAATTAATGAACCAACAATTACTTATAAAAGCAGATGGGAAAACTTTCAGCAAATTATTTTATGATTATATGGACCTATTCAGTAGAAATTACATTTACCCTTATCACTTGCAGACAATTTATTGTCTATGATAAAAAAAAATCTTTTTCTAAGTGTGTAAAGTAGTATAGATAGGTTATATTTCTTAACACATATATCAGTAACAAGCACGTGGAGCGCGCGCTGCACGTGGAGGTGACGGAGCGCTTCGGGCTGCTGCAGCTGCTCAAGGACGACAGCATCACGCCCGCGCTCATGATCCTGTGCTGCCAGCGGCTGCTCACCAGGATTGACAAACTTAACACTGTAAGTTACACTTAAATAAAATGGGAAAATCTTAATTGATCTCGATATATTTATCTAAGGTGCTTGAATACATTTGATTCTGCGAACTACTTTTGTACAGTCAGCTGCATAAATGTGTTTACATTTACAAAAATTTATGAACTTGTCAAGACCTTTGGTTTTAAAAACACATAATAATTAGTTAATATCATGAATTAGTGGGTTAGACGGATACATATTTTGTAACCAAAAGCTTATAAAAGTTTCTGAAGCTTTATATGTTTACATTTAATCAGCGGACTGTACTCCCATACAAAGTTATATTTTTGAGCCGATAAACAAGCTTGGTTATTAGTGAATGTTTTATTATGGGCAATTTTTTTGTTATTTATTGTAAGCTATTTGGTTAAATTACATTTAATATATGTGTTATTGCAGAAGCTGCGCGGGAATATTCTGTACGTGACACATTATTATTCAGTATTGTCAGAGGGCATCTTATGTATACCGTGGGACTTCAAATGAAACAGAATAATCCTCCGAATTAGTAAATTACATCAATATCCATAAAGTATAAGGTAAATAGTTTTAGACTTTTAAAGCTTTCATTCCTCCACTAATATAGTAATCTGATTTTATTTTTTAGAATGTATAAAATGTTGTTCTGTGATATTGATCAAGTTTTATTGTTAAAGTAAAGATATTCCAGAGGTTCCCAACCTTTTGCACTTAGATATAGACATTTAATATTGTTCCCTAAACAATTGTATCTAAGAAACTTTACAAAACTCTCAAAAAATTAGATCAAGTGGAACAATTGAATTTCTTTAGCAATTTGAGAAAATAGTTTATAGTTAATCCAAAAGAACAATGTTATGAAATAGTTCTTATATATTTTTTTAATCACAGATTTACTGTTTTCATTACCGACCAGTAATTTGCAATTTAAATATGACTATGGAATAAATGAATTATATTTACATAGTATATGAAGGTTTTATTCTGAAATATTGTTCTCTGACCTTTTATTGATATAAGATTCTAAAACTTTCAATTAATGTTTCTGAAAAAAAATTCTAAAAATCATACAAAAGTTATTTATTTTTAATTTTATATTTGATGCATTAAGCATAGTTTTACAGAGATATTTACGAAAATTATTAGTCTATGTTAATTAATTTCTAGATGCAAAAGAATTATTAACAAATATTATACAAAACGTTCATATACACTGTACAAGTTTGTGTTATAATCTTATTTACGTATATTAATTGAAATAATAACATAAGAAACAATAAAAAGTAGTTGAGTTGAGTTAAGGCTTTTGATCTTGCAAATATAGATTTAACAATTATTTCTAGAAATTTAATTATTTTATTAACATTTTAGAGATTTCATTGGAATCAGTTTAACATTATTAAGTTACTAGTAATAATTCTACATTAATATTGATTATTACATTTTTTACACTTGCTTTAATGACATTTTAAACAACAAGCACCGAATGCAATAATTTAAAATATCAATAAATTCCTGTAATTAATAATACAAAAAGAACAACTTTTATGTCACTAAAATTCATGGCACATATTACATATATTACAAAAATACCAGCAATCAAGCAATAATCCAACACGAATAATGCTTTATCATAATGGGTAGAAAACATCACATATCCAACACTTATATTTAAATAATTTAAAACATGGCAGTGAATATTTGTAACATCTCACATAATTATCAATATTGCATCTTAATATATCATTTTTAGTAATCATATACCATATATAAATATTATAAATGCGAAAGTTACGATGGATGGATGTTTGTTAGCGTTTGTAGCCTAAACGGCTGAACGGATCTCCATGAAATTTGGCACAGGTTTAGAGCATAGTCCGGAAGAACACAGGCTACTTTTTATTCCGGGAATGGTTACGATTCCCATGTGATTCTATAATTTAGTTTTTTTTTTTGTTTACTCAATCATTCTGCAACAATTCAACATATCTTATTGAAATTTGGCACAGATATAAAACAAAGTCTGGAGTACACATGGGATAAGGTTCATACCTAGTAGTATATAATTTCCGCGGAGCTATATTTGTGAGATTCCATTTGTTTCATATAAGAACTTTTGCAACAAAATTGTGGCCAATTTGTCTAAAGACAAAATATGAAAATACCACAAAGTTTACAATTTCAGTTAAAAATCTTTAAAAGAAATATAGATAATAAATAGATATTGAGCGTTGAAATTAAAAATAATGCTGTATATCAGTTTTTCTTGTTCTGTTGTATTATAACGAGCTTGTTCCGTTCCTTGGTGACTTTGGCCACTGGCATATTGGTGGCCGGCATCAGTTGTCTGAGATTCTGACTCGGTATTACAGGACCCTAGACAAAAAAAAAATTATAGAAGCTTAGATCCCAAGAAAATGTAGTCACAATTTATTTTATTGAGACTATTACACAATTTAGTTTATTAAAGCGTGAATGTACTATGTCTTACTAATATTATAGATGGAAAATTTAGATAGATGAATAGATGTTTGTTAGAGTTTGTAGCCTAAACTGATGGATGGATCGTAATGAAATTTGGCATAGATGTATAGAGTAATCTAAAAGTAGAAATAGGCTTTTTACTTTTGATTTTTTTTTAATTCCACATGGACGGACTCGCGGGTAAAAACTAGTACTGATATTAAATATTACGTAAATAAAAGCACACTTACCGCAGGATACCTGGCGAGCTGGCGCATGCGGTCCACGAGCCGCATCGCGTCGTCAGACGTCTCAGAGTCCGTGGTCACTCCTAGAGACAAAGCTCTATCGTTGATGATGCCCGCGTCTAAACATCTGGAAACAACACATACAAATGTATACCTAAAAAACAAATATATACTTAACAAAATAGAACATACATGCACTTTGTTATGTAGAATAATCATAGGATATTTTTGAATAACTATTTTTTTTATGTGAGAAGGGGCAAACGAGCGGCGGGAACACAGAGGTGGTCAACGACGCCCACGTTTTTTTTTTTAATAAAAAGTTCTACAATGACAGTCTATAGGTAATTTCCCTCTATTTAATTTAGAGGTGAATAAATTGAAAATAACAGTCACAAGGGAAAGATACAAAACTACAAACGAGTAGCAGAAAAGAAGCAAGGTTGCCATGGTAACGGTAATTGTCATTTTTCCATTTGAATTTTTATATTTGCAATAAAATGTAAGCTTTACAAATGTAAACTTATAAAATAGAGTTTTACAAGTACATGCAGATGAAGCCGCACGGAAACAACTAGTCAATCATACAATACAGGATACAAAAATAATTTTTGTTTAAGAATGCCTAACAGCAATATAGCATTGTTAGTGTTTGTATGAGTGGAGGTCAGTTTAAGGTAAACGTACCTCGTATGTTGTGTAGGGCGCGGACGGTGCGCGTGGCGCCAGGCGGCGGCGGCGCGCGCGCGCCACGCCGTCGCCTCCGCCGCTGCCGCCGCCGCGCCCGCCTCCAGCGCTGCGCACGCGCCGCGCAAGTCCACTACCTGACAGCATTTCAACATTTAATGACTATGTTTTCAAATTTACCCAGGACAGATGAAAGTATGGATGGGATTGTGTGAAAGAGGACATGATTAAGGGAGTGGATACTGGAGACAGAAGAAAGTTTGGATGGATTGTGTGAAAGAGAATATCATTAGGAAGGGAGTGGATTCAGATATGACGGCTGATAGAAATGTATAAGAGTAGCACATACTGTGTCGACACTCCGTATGGACAAAGGCAAGTTGATGATGATGAAGACTAAGTTTTCAAACTTACAAACATAATATAACATTTTAATCTTTACCTTTTCGAAATACCTGTAGAGTAATGACTTCATTTCATCATGAGATAGCTTGTCCAGCCTGGCCATGAGCATCTGTTCACCTCGGGTCCGAGAGTCTTTGTTCTCCTGAGAGTCTGACAGTGACGCGGCCGGTGATTTGCCACAAATTAAATTATTTTTATACTCTATCGCTGTATCTATTGCTTCTATAGCTTCTTCACACTCTAGTATTTTTCTTTCCTGAAAATAATGCAAATTTATAAAATTGCAGCATATCATAGCATTGAAGTGTTAAACAGAAGAAATCAAATACTATATACCTCAGAGTCTGATAAAGATTTGTAGATCTTCCTCTTATGTCCCAAACTACATCTTTGTTCGTGTAAACATTCCCTTGTTTTGCGTAAATTTTTAATTTCCTTCCTAAGCAAAAGCTCTTTATCTTTTGATAATTCTAAATTTGCCAAATCATTGGTCTTTTCCTTTAAAATACTATCTAACTGTGTTATTCTATTAGTAAAATGTTTTAATGAATGTGCTTTTTTATCTTTAATATCAACAGAAGATTCTGACAATTCATCTAATTTTAATTTATCTTTAACTAATTCTACATCTAAAGTATTCCGTCTTTTTTCATCTTTCTTGATTTGCCTTTTTATTTGGTCTATTTGTTTCTTATATGTTTTGAGGTTTGTCTCATGCCTCTTTATTTCTTTGATGGCATCTTGATCACCTAATCTAGAATCAAATTTATCTGTGTAGATTTTGTTTGGATTATTAATGCATATTGCCTTTGTTAAATCATTAATCAGTCTTTCTTTGGCTATACAAAGATTAATCAACTCCTTAAGTTGTGTCTGACTGCCACTTATTTCTTTAGAAATTTTTCTTGCTAAAATTTGTTTCTGAGCATATTTCTCCTTTGTCATTTTATACTTTTTACAAATCTCAGCTGTCTTTGCAGAATCAATCATTTTCAGAAGTTCCCTTTCTATTAATTTTGGTTCAGGATCTACATCTTTCTTGTGAGATTCTATTATGATTTTTTGAGATTCCGGTGATATCGCTTTGGCTGCTACTTTCCTTAATAATTCAAGTTCTGCACCAGATAAGCTCTCACCTGGCTGGATTGTCCGTCTCCTTCCTGAATTTGATTGTGATGTCATTATTGGCAGAGATTGTGACCCACTCGTCTCCGAAATAGTAATATCATCTGAATCAATATGATTCAAATATTCTTCACATCTCTCTGCAAACAGCTGATCATTTTTCTCTCTAAAGTAATCCATATATTTTTCAACTTTATCTTGAAATACAGTTTCAGAATGACTATCTTCAGAATCAGATTCTTCATCAGATTCACTTGGTTCACTAGGCTCAGTATCCTCTGCTATTCTTGGTAAGCCTTGTTTTGTAGCCACATCTTTATTATCACCACCATCACCATTCAAACATTCATCACATTCAGCTTTTAAGAATAACCACTCGCTAACTTGATTAATATCAGTCTCTGATAAAGATTTTGATTGTAATATCTTATTAAACAATCCCTCTGCATTGGAGACTAGTTTTATCCATTGTGTTGTTGCGAATTGTAAATTAAAACTATTGTCAGCTGGTAGAACATTCTTTTCTGTGTACACAGGAGTGTTATTGTCAGCAAATAAATTTACGGTAACAAAATTTTTGATACCTCTACAACAAAGGCATACATTCAGAATCTTTAAGGTGTCCTGGTAGTCTTCTGGCTCTGTACTTATACAGCCAATGACCCAAGTAAATGCTCTGCCACCAAACGAATCTCTCAACATTGCTGTAAGGATGCACTGGTCATAGTTTATTTGCTTAGGAGGATTTCCCGCTACCAATTCCTTGATAATATTCTCTAAAGCGAAAAGACTGGGCTCAGGATATGCAGCAAGATCACAGAAACTAGCTGTGGACATTCTGTGATTAAGAACACCATTTGTGCCCACCCATTTCTGTTCCATACTTACTGTGAACACTGTATGGTGATTTCCTAAACATCTTTGCCTCCATCCTAGTTGTAAATATTGAAATGCCTCTTCTACATTGCAACACCTAACTAATCCAGCTCCAAGCACATCGAAAATATTATTATTAACGACTTGCATCCATGTAATATGTAATATAAATTCCCTTTCAGGCATTTGACTAAGCTTGTGAAAAATGTCAGTAAGAAATCGTGGAATGATGCCTTGGTCGCATTCGCTATGTATGCATTCAAAACCTAAAACAAATTCAAATTTTAAGCTAATAGCTCCTACAAAAAGAATTAGTCTCCAACAACGATATGTAGCTAATATAGTAATGGAACCATAAGCAATAAATTAAATAAGTTAAAGAATACCTGGTCCGAACAGAGTGTAAGTTTTTCCAGTCCTTGCTTGGCCAAAAACTACTACTGATGTGTCACATCCATCCAGGAAACAGTTAATTTGTGGAATCATAAATGAATTAAACAGATGAGCTTGGGTACAATCGACTGGTAATGCTCTGTTGACATGAAAAGTCTGGCCACTTTCAGTTATCACTATTTGAGTCACTGGATTACTAAATATACACTGTAACGAGTCTGCAATGCTTGGAGGTTTAAGGCGGATCGCTATTTGTACTGGTATATCCATTTTAATGATTTAAAAGCTTCGTTAATGTAATAAACGAACCCACAAAGCTTTCACTGTCAACTTCTTATTTTAACATATTTAGTATTCGTTTCATATGTTTACTTATATATGCATCCTTTCATGGTAGGAAAACATTAATTATAGTCCCTTATTTTTCACTTAATGGTGATATTTTTAGATTGAAAATCCCAGTCTATGAAATACTATTATAAGTAAATATTGGCAAAATTTTGACAGGACTATGGACAATTTCAACAATTTCAAAGAATAAAGAGCACAGACTAAATTAAAAGTCCACGAATAACATGAAAAGTTAACAGTGAGGGTAATTATAGTTTGTTTAATTATAAGTTTGATTAGTTTGACAAATCACGCATATTTAATCATCCTCGAGTATTTTAGTGTGAAGAAAACTAGCCTATGTAATATAATATTATAACAAACATAAAAAACTTATAAAAAGTAATAGAATAGACGGGTATCACGGTGACAGAAAAAAAGCGTGTCCGTCATTAGCTGTCAGCTGTCAGTAGCCGTCAATTTCCCTTCCTTACTTCCTTTTAGTCATTAAATTATTTTCGAGATAGTATTTTTATCTTAGTAGTACACTATTGCCATGATTTCTTTTTGTACTTTGGTCATGATTTAAATTAAAGTGTAATTTAAGAAATTAGTCTTCTAATACAGGATAATGGTTGTTATACAAGATAATAAGATGGATTTCGAAGCTATAGGTGATCAAGAATTGGGCCTTGATAAGCCTCCTAAATTAGGCCTAAAATTATTATTAAACCATAAATTTCCTATTAAAAGTAAACAAATAATTATACCCAGACCTAAGCAAATGTTTGAAATGATGCCACTTACAGCAAGGTAAGTAATTTCAAACATACTCTGGAATTTTTCACATTTCTATAAATTTATAACATATAGCACTACATATGTTCAAGAGAATTATTAGATGACCTAATTTTCTTAGCACTAGAATCTATATCATCATTATAACAAACTCTCTATAAGTTCATACCGAAAGGCTCAGAGCCTACTCAGTATGGTGACTAGGCCATAGTCAACCATGGTAGCCTAGTGCATGTTGATTGACTTCACACATACATCTACATACTGACTCAAAAACTGAATATGTTATTTTCAGGTATCTAAAGTATTATGTAGGGAAAAGAATACAGAAGAAACGTCCAATAATGGACTATGTAAATATGATTTCAGCACAAAGGATGTATGGTAAGAAATTTAAGTACTTATGTTTTAACTTTCTAATTCTATCCTGAGATCATTAATTTTTAATAGATATCTCATTGTCTAAATTAGCTGTTATACTTTTCTACAGGTTGTCCTATAGGTGGTATAGGAGGTGGTACAATTGGCAGAGGGTTTAAAGGTGAATTCTGTCGATTTCAACTGTTCCCTGGTATATATGAATATGTAACAGTACCAGAATGTCAGTTTATTGTTAACATAAGAGATGCCAAAAATGAAACAATATATCAATCTGTTTTATCAACTTATAAGTAAGTTTCAAATATTATTATACTAATTTGTATTTCTATAATATATTCCAAACCATTGATCTCTATAAATGGATAGGTTTCACATCATTACAACTTTAATATGCCTGTTGATGTTGATAGTTAATTCTAACTCTATTATCAGACCATAGCCATCAGCACCAAAAAGATGAAAATTAAATAGTCACAAACATTCAACCTCTTATATTCTGCCTATTTATAGAAGTTAATGTTCTAGAGTCAATTTTTAATTTTAATATAAATCATTTGAATAATTATTGACTGCCAGTTGCATTTTGTAAAAAATGAGAAATAACTGGCTGTTTTTAATTTCAAAGCTTTTTTATTAAATTCAAGGAAACCAAAAAAGGCACCTGCAAGTTGGGAATGGAATCTAAAAGGTTCAGATTGTGAATACACAGCCCTGTACCCTCGAGCATGGACAACATATGACTTGTCTAAATATGGAATTAAATTAGTCTGCAGACAAATATCACCTGTGATACCTCATAATTATAAGGTAAATATATTTTAAATAGATTAAATGTCAGAAATAGTTTAATCTATATATTTAATCTATATATATATAAATTATATATTTTTTATTTTAGTGTTTAATCTGTACCATCTGTTATTAAGTTTAAGATTTGATTTTTTACCATTTATGAGCGATTTATTTATTATTATTTTTTTCAGGATAGCAGCTTACCATGTGCAGTATTTGTGTTTTCTGCGACCAATGTGTGTGAGGAGCATCGTGATGTGAACATTACATTTACTTGGACTGAAGTTTTAGGAGGTCCAAACAAAAAGAAGAATATTGGTGAGTAATATCTTGTATTTAGTTAACCTCAATATTGCCATCTGTACCTTTCTATATTAACATAATATGAGATAGAAGAGAACAGGAGAACTCATTGTATTAGAGAGGTTAGGTTGCATCAAAAGAAAAAAATCATTAAATATGCCCTTCTATCCCCTATGTATGATTTTGTTCTGTGGTTCTATTACAAATATATTGTCAACTAGTTGTCACTCGCGACTTCGTCTGCGGAGATTAAAAAAAGGACAAATGATAAAAGTAGCCTATGTGTTCTTCCACGCTTATTCTACATCTGTGACAAATTTCAGCAAGATTTGTTGAGCTGTTCCGGAAATACCTTATAACAAACATCCATCCATCTAAACATTGATATTTATAATATTAGTAAGATGTTGGATAAAAAATGTCTTATGTATTAGATTGTGAGTTATTTGTGTGATTAAGAAGCAGGTGTTCAAATTAATACTTTTATCATAACAGCTGATTAAAATGACAAAGTCCATGTTATTAGATTAAGAAACTATCTAAAAGTTGGTTACATTTATTGTATTTGTTTCTTTGTTGTTTACCTAAACAACTATAAAGGACTTATAAAAAAAAAGGTTTCTTATATATTGTATGATATTAAATAATCAGGTTGTATTTATATTTTTCCTTTTTTTTTATAAAAAAGATAAAATTAAATCCTATTTTATTTAATATCCCAATAATCTGATAACGCTAATCTTGTTTATTATTTCTAGGTAAAATATAGAATTGTTTTTTTCTAAAGTGTTTTTAATGAGTCATGAATATGATTCATTAAAAAATTATATTAAAACTAGTTATTGATTGCGATTTCGTCCGCGTGAAAATGAAAAATAAAAAAAATTGTAGCTTATGTTATTTTAAAAATCGGCCCAGTAGTTTTTGCGTGAATCAGATTTATACAAAAATCATTATATTTATATGTCTAATTTGTTTTTATTTAAGGTAAACTAGATTTAGAAAGATATTCAGAAGAATATAGTTGTGGTGTAACTTTGGAGCAGAAGGTAGCAGACATTACGTGCGCCTTTACCATCGCTAAACGGAAATGTGAGAACGAATCCATTCACCAAGGTTACTGTTTGTGGAATTCTACGAAAACTTCTTCATATGTATGGGATTGTTTGAAGAAGAATGGCAAACTACAACCCGATCCGAGTCTCACTCCGTCGCCGCCAAATGTGAACGATAAAAAAACAGAGGCCGATAATAAAAATAAAAAGAAAGAAAAACCTCAGAAAATTTATAAATGTAAGTATTTAAATGTGATTAAATTGTTTTTGCATCTTAAAATAGAATATAAATATCTTAAATATTAATAATTAATTACAGCAAAACATTTGAGTTGGTAAGTATATTTCATTCAATCATTTTCTAATAATGCATCATTCCTTTGCATTAAAATGTATTTAAATATAGTAGAGTATAATTTAATTTTACTTTGTAGGTGATTCTCTAGGGCTCTCTAGTTGTATAAGTCTGGACCCCGGAGGAGTGGGTTCAACAGAATTTGCACTTGTCTGGGACATGCCTGTGATAAAGTACAAAAATGATAAGAAAACACATAAAAGGTATATTTTTAGACTATTTGTAAAATGTACGTGAAAGTGTGTTTTGTTCTTATTTTAAATGTTTTTTTTTTAGATATTATACAAAGTACTTTGGTAGCGATGCAATAGCCGGAGCCAGCATAGCTGCTTACGCTTTAAGAAATTACGAAAACTGGGAAAAACAAATTGCTGAATGGCAGGATCCAATTTTGTCAAATAGGTAATATTATATTTTACTACATTATAATTGTTATTGAGTAAATTTAAAACAATTAAATGATTTTTAGCAACATCCCAGACTGGTTGAAAAGTGCCTTAATGAACGAGCTTTATTTTGTCGCTGATGGAGGAACTATTTGGTTTGACGTCCGAGATGAATATCCTGAAACAGATCCTAGGTAATTGTAAATTTATAATCTTACAAATGTTATTTTTTTAGAGGGAAAATTTTCATTACCTTTTTTTAATTAATAACAGGCATGAATTTGGCGTTTTCGGATACTTGGAAGGTCACGAGTACAGAATGTACAACACATATGATGTACATTTCTACGCATCTTTTGCGATAGCACAACTCTGGCCAAATTTACAGGTAATTTTGTTTATCACGGAACAAAAAAAATTGTTTTTTACTACATATCTAAAATTGTTGAATTATAATTTCAGGTTGTCCTGCAGTATATGTTCCGAGATTCGATAGCTTTGGAGACGGCGAAATGCAGACAATCTCTATACGATGGGAAGTCTGTTAAATTTAAGATCAAGGACTCCATTCCGCACGATTTGGGCGACCCAGGTATTTCAACG